ATTTGAACACTAGGAGACAAAGGAATTAGTCCTCTTGTTTGCAACTTAGGTGGGGCCCTTTAAAAGACACCAACTTGGCAAGCCTCAATTTCTAATCACTTTCAAAAATTGCCTATTAACCATCTTAAAGCTATTGGGGACAAGTTTGAAAAATTACAGGGTGAATTTAGCTTCAATTCTGAACAAAATAAAAATTAATTACAAATTTAAAAATAGTGACTATTCGAAATTATAATGGCACTGAAAAAAGTTCCCCCCCAAGCCACAGCCGAGCAAGACACTTGCCTGCCCGCCTGGCAGCGCTCTTCCTCCTGTCCGAGGTTTTCATTGTTGTGAGCATTTCTGTTGAGGATTGGCAGTGGGGGTGGGGTGGGGGGTGTTTGGTTTTTATTCCCCCCGTCTGCTGGGTGGTTGCAGCAGGTTTTGGTCACTTCACATGACCCTGGGACACTGTGACCGTCATAAATATGAATCAGTTGCCAAGCATCTGAATGTAAATCACAAGACCCTGGAGATGCTGCAACATTCCAGCTGATTGGTGCTTCTTCAGGGTTCAGCAGAAGCGCCAGGATCAGCGCTGAACTCCAGATGAAGCCTGGCGCTGATCCTGGCACTTCCACTGAGCCTTGATAGCCCTGAAGAAGTGCCGATCAGCTGGAAAGCGGCACTGATCCTGGCCCTTCCGCTGAGCCCTGACAGCCCTGCAGCTCCAGCTGTCTCTCGCTCAGGCTTATGCGGTGCTGCCACCGGTTCAGCTCATTCCCCTCCCCCGCTACTTTTCTAGGATGGTCGCGTACCACCTGCCAGGTGCCAATGTACCACAGGTGGTTGAAAAGCCCTGTGCTAGAGCTTTCAGTCTCGTGGAAAACAAAAATTATTTCCCATTAGTAATGCTTCATTAATAAAGTGGCAAATTCCAGGCAGTCCTTGGTTTATGCCAACTTAAGGCAAGACTAGCTCACAATTAAAAATTCTGATTCTGCTTATACAGCCACCAAAACAAGTAGGTGGACTTTTTATGATAAACCTCTCTGAGAAGAAAAGCAAATCTTCCTTATCTTTGAAGAGCTTGGGATAATTTCAGTGGTGCAGGTTCCTTTCTTGGGCTCCATTAATCAAATCATGTGCAAACCCAAAAGACACAGAATGATGTAAGCGCCTCTGTTTTATTTTATTCCCATAGAAAGCAATCTTGCTTATTAGTTAAAAGTATGATCTTCTGATATGCTTTTAGTACAAAGTGCCATTGTATGGCTGATGGTGCAAAAACTCAAACCTGTAACCTGAGATGAAAAACAGATTGAAATATTTGTGGATGATGAAAACTGAGTCTGGGAACATTTGCAGAGCTATTTCTCATTACAACGTAGTAATAAGAGACTGTCTTAATTTAATGCAAGAATATGATCTTTTATGGGGGTTAGTGATGGATGGACATTTCTCCTGCATGCAGTGTATTGTCCTTTTTTCCCCTATCTGAATGTGGCTTTCACCACACACAGCTAGTAACTGTTTTATTTATTTATTTCCAGGGCTTTTTTTTCTCATAGAACGCCCAGAACGGAGTTCCGGCACCTTTTTGGGATGGAACCTTGTAGGGTAGGCAAGGCGGGTTGTATGATGTGTGTGAGTTCCGGCACCTTTTTTTTTTTTTAGAAAAAAAAGTACTGTTTATTTGAGGTAGTCTACCTAATGGCTATTCTCTCTGAGAAAATAGATCCTAATGTATTAACCAAAGGTTTTCTTTATTTGTTTCTTCTTTCTTGGAACTATCAACGTTGAAGTTAGGATTTCCATTCCCATACGAAAAAAATTAAAGGAACGATTGCTCTAAGTTGCAACAGAAGTCATCATTGCCCCCATGTTAGGATAGCCACTTTGCCAGCTTCCTTCTGAAAGTGAGGGAAGAGGAAAAGTTGCCACAGAGGGAGCAATTTCTTTGATTAATTTACATTTATTCTATCTCAGGATGAGAAAAAAGAACACTTTGAAGTTGTATGGATAGTCTTAGAGATAGTAAAGTATAGTTTACTGAATCTTCAGGATTCATATTCTCTGTATTTGAACTTGGAACACCACCTCCTTAGGTGACAGAGGAAGATGCAAAAATCTCATCTATTTTTGGTTTCAGATTAATATCTTCCATTATATATGTGCAAGTGCCTATTTTCCAAAAGGTTATAGGCTGAAATTTTGTTGGGCCAAATGGTATGTTGGGGTTATAGACATAACACCTCAACTGATTCACAAGATCATTTGAAGGAAAAAATACAGAAAAATGAATCCATACAAGTTCTTCCATAATTACCTACATATATACAAGCCTCATATAGAGAAGAGGAAAAAGCAGAAAATAGGAAGAAATAGTGGTAACGTGGATAATTTGTTGCTGGTAGTTATGGCAAGTTATATATCTATATTTAAGGCAGGGTTTCCAAATCTTGGTAACTTTAAGATGTGTGGACCTCAACTCCCAGTATGGCTGACTGGGGAATTCTGATCTAAGGCAATCTATTGCCAATTTCAAAAACAAGCATTGTGATTTATGTCCATAATAGTGATAAAAGTAAATGAAATTCGGTAGTCTGAATGTATTCTATATATTTTCCTAGAATTATTATTATTGATGTCGTTATTAGATTTTTATCTCACCTTTTTATATATATTTGGTCAAGTCAAGGTGGCAAACATATCTAATACTTCCTATTAACATTCTGTTCCATCTATATATATATTCATTTGTAAATTTCATTTGCACAAATAAATACATCCGGGCAGCCAATGATATGGTACTTTAATACAGTCCTGCATGTTTGTTTGACCTTATCTGCAGTTTTTATACTCTATGGGCCTCATGGTAGGCATTTACCAATGCAGAATTACTATTTAATTTATGATTTAGATCTATGACAATGGGAGAAATTGGGCAAGACTGGCATGTGGAACAGGCAGAAAGGACTGTAATCACATTTCAAAACAGTCAGTTATAATTCTTCTTAATCAAATGGGTAACATAATGCAAGTCCTTTGAGCATTCAAACTAGGTCATAATCTCTAACCTTCTCAGTATCAGAATCTCTGACGCCTTTCTCAACCATATCTCCTTAACCTGCAATAGACTTGTTTCCATTGGCACCAAATACAATAATTAAGCATCAAGGGAGCTTTTGAGATAAACCTTTAAATCAACAGATTCTTCCTGGGACACAGGGAGAAATTAAAAACTGCAGGCTGGCCTTTTTGTTCTCTTCCGCTTGGCACTGTTTTATGTTTATGCTATTTATCATTTCCCATTCAAACCATATACCAAGACAGCTGACACTAAACAATGAGCATTAGGAACAGCCATATTTTAGCTCAGTTTTTATTTACTTACTTAAAACATTTTCAGGTAGTCCTTGACTTACAACAGTTCACAGTGACTGTTTGAAGTTACAACGGCACTGAAAAAGTGACTTATGACATTTTTTCACACCTAGGACCATTGCAGCATCCCCATGGTCACATGATCAAAATTAATATGCTTGGCAACCGACTCATATTTATGACGATTGCAGTGTCCTGCAATCATGTGATCCACTTTTGTGGCCTTCTGACAAGCAAACTCAATGGGGAAGCCAGATTCACTTAACAATTGTATTATAACCTACTCACTGCTGTGATTCACTTAACAACTGTGGCAAGAAAGGTTGCAAAATGGGGCAAAATTCATTTAATAAATGTTTCAGCAACAGAAATGTTGAGCTCAATTGTGGCCATAAGTTGAGGACTACCTGTACTGACATGAAAGTGCTCCTCATCCGAATTTAATTAGAGCTTATTGAATATAAAGCTATCAGTATGCATGGCACTATATCAATGTTGAGAAAGTAAGTCCCTGCTCTGAGTTCACAGTCAAGGAAGAGAAGGAAAACAGAAGGAAAGTAAAAATATGTTAAAAACAGGAGAAATGTATGGACCAGAGCTTCAGGAAAATAATGAAACTGGTGGACGTGGTGATTTTTTTTGGGGGTAGAGTATGTTCTTTACTTCCAATCCCAGATTGCCAAAGTCATGCCAGATGGGACATTGTACTTTACCATCCTTCGGAATCCCGTTCACTTCATGGAATCTTCATTTACTTATTACAAAGGGATGTCCCCCTTCTCCAAAGCCAGAAGAAACTAGAGGAATTTCTTAGCCAAAGATCCCTGTTTTACAATGCCAGAGTCAATGACAGCCATTGTGCCAAGAATCTAATGGCATTTGATTTTGGTTACAATCACAATGGAAACTTTTCAAGAGAGAATATTCAACTGATATTTAATGAGAACCATTGAAGCAGAATTTGATTTAGTTCTCATCTCAGAGTGTTTTAATGAGTTCATGTTGTTATTGAAAGAAATCTGATGCTGGGACTTGGATGATGTTGTCTCATTCCCTCTTAACAGAAGAGATATAATTAAATCTCAGCTTTCAAAAGATTCTGTAAAGAAATTAAAGAGCTGGAATAAGCTAGACTGGGAACTCTATATGCATTTCAACAAGACATTTTCTGGAAAAAAGATATATTAGCAAGGAATGTATCAAGCAGGAAGTGAAGGTATTGCAAGAGAAGCAGATACAGCTGGCAAAGATCTATCTCCAAAGAAGATTAGAGACCAGTCCCACTGCAGTATGGCACTCTGGCAGTGCAAAAATATTTGGCTACAACTTGAACTGGATAAGGCAACAAGAAGATGTGCTGGCGGATGGTGACTCCTGAACTTCAGTATAGTTATTTCCTGTACAGGAAGCAGTTCGTCAAGAAAGCTTTGAAGTTCAGCAAGCCTGCTTACTCATTCAGACCATAGAAATATAGGACAGATCAAACCAGTTAGGACTGATTTCTGAGTCATGACACCATCAAAACTATAGACCTGATCTGAACCAGAATAAATGACCAGGTAGAAAACATACCCAGACCTAACATTAATTTTTCTTTTCTTTTTTTCTATTATCATGAATCTTTAGATGTGTTGTTCCAGATGAGAAATAAGGCGTCACCTTTCAAGTCTCTCCAACCTGTTTCTCTAAGCTGCCAGCACAATTCCTGAATCCCTATGGATTTCCTTCTTCATTATAATTACACATTATTTACTTTTAGGTATTAATAGGAAGGAAAAATACACGAGCAAAGTTTGGATTGTCACACCAATCAGCAACTGAGTTCCCCACATATAACCTACAAATTTAGGAGAGAAAAATAAATATTTCTCCACATACATAAAAGTCTGATGCAATATTCTGGGCATTGTCATCTAATTTTCTGTGGCTCAGCACTTTACATAATTTCTCATTATTTGTAGTTGATAATGTCAATATATATTGATCTCTTTGTAATCAACAAGAATCCTAAAGTTAGATTAATGGGATTGCAGAAATCAACAGATCTATTTTAAAAGAAACGGTGCTTTGAAGGAAATACCAGTTGAGGCCTATTACTCAGCTCTCGGTATCTTTTATCACTGTATTGTTTGCTCCCAATATTAACATTTGACCAAGGATGTTTCATACATCACCAAAAGGGAACCTTGGAAAATATAACACAATTGCATTCTGCATGCTTATTATACACATATCAGAAATGCGCATAATAAGAAATCAGAAATGATAACCACATTATTGTGAGAACCAGGTAGGGATAACTGCATTAAAGAAACCCAGATTGCTGCTTGTATTAACTAAATTTCAAGAAGAGCCTGAAAAGAAGGATCATATAACATTTTATCTCATGTAACATTTTACTTTTTCATAGGAAATCGAAAGTGCAATTCCACATCAAACATTTAACATTTGTTCTAATTTCACTATTTATTTCAAGCCATACCCTATGCCATATCATAAAGATATTTATCTGTTCAAAAGGATGCCATAGTTTGAAGAACATCCCTGCTACCTAGGAATAGCCACTTTCCTCAGAAGATGCCTGAACATATAGAATTAAAATCCAATTAGCATAATGAATGCACGCCTTTGTAACAATTGATAAAAGGTTGTTATTTCCGTGCATCTAATAATACAGTCTTTATCAACTTTCTGCTGGTTAACATATTGGACTAAAACTCCCACAATTTAAAGTCATAATACACATTTCATGCTGGCTAGAAATTATGGGAGTTGAAATTTGACACATCTAGAAGGTCCCAGTTTGAGGAACATCATAATATCATGTGAACTGCCCTTTCCAATCCTCATTTGCCATTTACCCAGAAAAGTAGTTTTTTGCCTCTCATCCAGCAGTGTTAATCCTTTTTGCTCTGTTCAGTTAACCAGTCCAGAACTGCTGTTCTTCTTCTCTGTTTTTGTCTGCTTCTCTTCAACAGCAGAGTTCGATGTTACTTTCCCTTTAAATATTCTGTATTTTTTCTTTTGACTATAAAGCAGGTTTGTCTGGAAGAAGCGTGGAATATTTCCTTGATATACAAAGAGGGCTAACAGCATTCCTGCAGGGAAGAAACAGCAACAAGAAATTTTTATCTATTTGATTTATGTCCCAAAAGTATCTTTTTCTCTTTTGAGGCAAGAGTGAGTAGGAATCAAGACCAGTACATGGTACAGGTTATAGAATAGTGACATGCTGAATGGTGAACCAGAAGACGACCTAACCTAATCTTCTGCTCATACAATGGAAGATGCTATCCTAGCATCATTGTTGAAATATGATTCAGGTGCCAGCTCAGTTTGTTTCTACACATGGAGAGAGAAGGAGAATATTTTTTTCATCAACAGTAATGTGTTTTAAGCCAGCCTTGGAAAAAATATAAAACTATTCAGCAGGTTCTAACCAGGGAATGCATCTTTTTTCTTTATGCAAACATACAGTCACAACACAGATTCTGCTGAAACTCCAAAGGATTTATTGGAAAGAAAAAATTAGTAAAAAAAAAAAAGCTGCATGGTTGACAAAGCTTCAAGTATTTTTCTCACACTGGAAAAAAAAGAAGAGCAAGCCCACAAAAAATCAAGAAAGAAAAATGGATTTTTGTTCTGCCATTTCCATTTTAAAAACATGCTGTATGTGTTGCTTCAGTTGTATTTTTGAAAGTCTTCCTTTAACAGCATTTTAGCAATTAAGATAAGCAACAGTATTCAAAATGATTATGTAAAGAGAATAATAATACTAATACTTGATTAGCATGTTTCTGCATATCAATGAAAAAAATGTGGTGGTGACCAGGAAATGGAGAAATGGAATGATGGGGAGAATAGATCAATCTGTGAGTGAATGTGTGTGTCCATAATTCTTACAAGGATCCTTGCAGTAAGTTTTCTTTTAATGTTGATAGTTGAGGCTGCCCCATAATTATGCATTTCTACTGGAGGCTTAAGTTTCACTTTTCACAAAATATACTGCTATTGAAGGTCAGAATTAAACTTCTGGATGGTTACAATTTAATTTAAAGGCATATTTTTAACTTGTTTAATGCAGTACTTTCCATCAATTCAGGACTGGCTTCCAACTATTACCAGCACCGTTTTTTAATTTGTCTTAATGATATCTTATTCCAGAATTTTCTTCTGAACTAGTTTTCCCTAGTTAACTAAAAGTTTTCCTTTCCTATTTCCTAGTTAATTAAAATTATTCTTTTCTTTGTTAACCTATGTAAACTTTCCTAGGTTGGTGACTAATTTGTTTTCATAAACTAACATAGATTTGGTCATTAAGCAAATCTCAGACAGTTGCTAAGCATACCTCTCATCACTCACCTTGCTGGCCGGGCCCTCCCTGAGACACAAAGTATTTAGGAAATCATCCACCTATCACTGCATCCCTCTCTGACACCAACCCTGCCATTCTATTGTGATGGTGTAGCAAGTTAGCCTTGATTGGCAGGAAGAGGAAGAGGGAGAACTGCAGAAGGGCAAAACCCAATTTAGACATGCCGCTGAGTAATGGCCAAGGCATATCTGGAGCTGAACTGGTAGCCAACTGAAAAAAACAGAGGGAACCAGAGGAGAAGAAGTGGGGTTGGGAGCTTATCTTGGCTGTGTAGAACCCAGGAACCAGGAGTATTCTCTGCAAATCCACCTAGCCAGTAACACTGTGTGGGGTTGAGGATTTAGCCCCAAAACAGCAGCAGTAGCACAGTTGCAGATACAGAGTGAGACACCCTGGCGTTCTGGAAAGCCTATCTAGGCTTTCAGGAAGCCCAGTGCAGAGCATAAGGCTGGAAGGAGCAGGGCAAGGTCAAGGCTATTGCAGCTTGTTCTGTTCTTCTTTGACTTTCAGCTGCTTTGATGTAGGGAAGCAAGAATACAGAGGAAAGGTGCAGTTCTATCACTATGAGGAAGGGGATAAAATGCAGCATGGCCTGAGGTAGTCATGGAGTTGGAAGGAAGGCTACTTGGCTGGGCAGTGTAGCAGGCAGGACACAATTTCACTGACTTCTCCATTAACTTTGCTTGTTGGAAGCTGGCAATGAAGTGAGAGCAAATAATGATCACATAAGTGTAGGGTGCTGGAAAGGCCAGAACTCGTTGTAAGTACCACTCATTCAGAGCCATTGTAAGTTTGAATATTCATGGAACAAGTGTCATTAAGTGAAGATTATCTGTATTTGGCTTGAACGTTACAGTTCCTTTAATGAACCTTAATATTCAGTTACAAGAACTGTCGCAACTCCTAAAGTCTTTGAGAAGAACCTCACCTGAGATGGGTGCCAGCCAATAAACTTGCATATACTCCAGTAAACTGTTTCCTGAGCAGGAAAAGGTCATAGCAGAGGCCAAGGCAGGATTAAAAAAGGCACCTGTGACAGGTGCAGCTGTAGCAGAGGAAAAGCAAACAGTTTAATCCATCTGTTCTTCTGTCTGGCATATGCAGGAACATGTGCCCCACCTAATCAGATTCAATATGTTCAAAATGGAACAAATGTTAAAAAATAGGAGGAATCAACCCAAACTACCGAATCTTTCCTTCCTTCAGGTATTTTTTTTTTTTAAAGGAACAGCATCTGAGAGCAGTATGTCAATCTAGAGCATTGTCTCTCAATCTCAACAACTTTAAAATGTATGGACTCGGCTCTCAGAATTCCCCAGAAAACATTCCAGCAGTTGCAATCCACACATCTTAAAATTGCTGAGAAGCACTGATCTAGAGGTGAGAGAATTTAACACCTCTTCTCTTATTTGGGATTCCCATTTTACTTCAGAGTCTGAACCACTACCTGGCAAAACTTCAACAATACAATGGATACTCACATACAGAGCAGCATCCCAATACTCAATTCATTAGTACAAATGCCATCTTATTTCACATATCTACCAGGAAGGTGATTAGAAGCAAATACTTCTGATTTCATACATTCAAATTGAAATAAAAGTTTAATAAAATATTTTCAGATAGCTGGAAAACAACCCTTTAATCTATGTTTAGAAAAGCATCCAATCTTGAAACAAATATTATCATTTAAATTTGTTATGTGAAATTATTCATCTAAGAAATATCTCGCCTGTCTTGTTTTCTTAATTCAGTGATGTCCTATATGTTAAAGAATTAAGACTCATTTCCACCCTGTTCAGAGTCACACAAATACCATACTGCACATCATGCAAAAATTTACAGCAACAATTATTTTCCAGATGCAATACAAAAATTATAATATCGAAGTTATGAGCCACTTGGTGTCAGGTACAAGTATCCAGGAACAGGAGTTGAGTTCAAAGCACTACATGTTTATTACATGCTACCTATACACAAGAATCTGATCTACTAAAGATAGATAAGGGTCATCAGAATTCACTCAGTGTGTGTGTGTGTAGTAGTAGTAGTAGTAGTAGACTTGAGTATCTGGTGGGAGTGCAGCAGCTCCAAACTGATGATGTGTTTGACCCCACCTTCAGGCTCAACCTGCTCATCTCTTACACTGGCTTAAGACACAGGTTTAAGAGCCTTGCTTCAGGTACTCCTACGTGTTTCCAACATTTAATTGATGCTGGAATTTGGCTTGATTTCTATAGACGTTTGCATGCAGCTCTACCATGTTGGCTTCTTAGTCATCTTTGAGAGCTCCCTGACCAACTTCATTTTCAATACAATTTTCCAACTTCATGATTATCAGGCAGGGGATATACATTTTTGCAACATATTTGCTCATATTAGACTTTGACTTCAAAGGAGGTTTGAAATGAAACAGGAGGCATTTCGTAAAAATATAAGTCTACAGGAAAATCTATGCTTACTCTGCATAGGTGGACCGTTTTCAGATACTGACTACTGTACTAATATTTTATATCTGATTCCTAGAACTGCTGCTAGATTCAAGGGTTTGCCATCTTAGCCACTGCAAGAAGGATTCAACAATACTCTTCCTCCATCTGTTTTGCCACACTAAACTGTGGGCAGATTAGTAAATTAGAAAGCAATCAGTACACCAGTGAGGTAAAAGCTTAAAGAATTTATTAAGCAAAGAATATCAAAATAAATAACTGTAACTGCAAAGTGGAATATTAATGAAAAATAGCCATACACAAGGAAATAAAACACAACACAGTATCAAGAGGATTGCAAATACAAACAAAATCTCACATCCTTCATTTAAGACAGATATTTTGATCACCTCTGAAGTAGGAAAGACAAGTTATAATAATCATGTTGCTGTAAATAAAGCGTGAGCAGTGAAACATATTTCATTGCATGCCATAGGTATGTAAAAACATTGCCTATATTAAACAGTTGTTTTAGTTTCTCAATCTGCATCAAGGAAAAAACTCAGGAGAGTGGATAGCAATCCTTACCTGTGTATGTCAAGGCAGTGATACTGAGCGCCACAATAGGAACTCTGTACATGAGAGGGCAGGTGTGAAGCTTGAGAATAATTAACTGGAAAAGAAAGGAACCCGTGGCTTCTACAAAAATGCCCTGGGATATAGAGGTATTGAGAGATGAGCTGCAGTCCTGGGCCATTAAGTTCTGGATCATGTGGAAGTCTGTAAATTCCTTGGACCAATATTTCTTAGTAAAAGCACAAGCTGCTTCCATCCCTAGAAACTGGGCCAAAATTTTAACAATACTGCCTACAAAAGAACAATCCAAAGCTAGAAATTCCTGAAGTGAGGCTACAGGGTTGGCAGCAGTTCCATCAAAAGAGGCACCATGAGCTAAGAAGACTACGAATAAGAGAGTCAGGCTCACATCTGGGCCAAAGCCACCACCCCATGGGCCAATCTCCCTTAGCATCTTCAATTCAAGGTAGCAAGCACATATCTGGAAGGAACTGGCTAATTCACCAGCAAGACAAAAATATACCTTAGATGGAAAAATTCTCTTGAAGAATCGTCTAGCAAATTCACAAAGAGTTACAACTGAGAGGAAAAAAATGATTGAGACATTCAGTCCAGACATTCTGAGAAATACACTGGTGAGGTAGTACGTTCTAACTCAAAAAAAATCTTCACTGCATGAAAGAGAAGGGAGGAGAAACTATTAATTAGTCTCGCCTTAAGAGCATATTTAAGCAAACGTGGCATAGTTTGATAGGTACCAGGTTAATAGGGTCACAGAAATGTCTGGGGAACTGAACATATTTAACACCATGAAAAAACTGGCTCAGATAGAATGTTGCTCCCTTATCACTTTGCAACTGCTCTAACCAGAATTTCACCTTTGGTCTTTTCTTTTCCAGTAAACCGCACTTAAGCCTTTTTCCATCTCTAGAAACCCACCTAAGCCTTTTTCCCCTAAGAAAAAACACTAATAAGCTGCACCTTGGAATTGGTTCAGAATCCAATGAAACCAGGAGGTGACCCCCAAGGGCAAAGCAGTCAAGATTCTTCTTGAATTCAGAAGCTTACTCTCTCTCTCAACTGTTTAGAGATAAGCTGATTTTGAAAAACTGGTGAAGCATAGTGTGTTTTTAGACTTAAAGATTATAAGTTTCATATTTTGGATATATGGAAAGATAAAGATCATTCAAGGAAAAACATGCTTGATAAAATTGAAGGAAAATGCAGAAGGAAAAACTTGCATGATTAGAACATTAAAAATAACCATGGATACCATTCTGATAATGATTAGTCACTGACGAAAGACTGAACAGCATGCCAGAAACCGGTCCACGCAAACAAGCAAAGCCCCATCTGTCGGATGCAGACAGTACACGTCCCCTCCGGTCTGTGGAAAAATCTCTCCATGGAACCAGTCCCTGATGCCCAAAAGGTTGGGGACCTCTGGTCTAGAGGGTTGCCATGAAGCAACATTGACTTGAAGGTAATTGACAACAACATTAGGGAAAGCCTTGTTTTCTTCAATTTTCCGATAAGGCTTTAAAATATTCATTGCTATCAATGGATGCTAGTTTAAAGCTTCATTGCTATGGAGGGGAATTTCCAGATTGATTTTATTTATTGTTAAGAGTTCTATGCCACCCATCTTGCCAAGATGACTTTAGGCAGCTTATAGATCCTTTCCTTGACACCGCTTTGACTTCTCTACTACAATACTCCCTCAGCTTGCTTCAGAACTTAAAATATCCTTATTAACATCATTGAAGATTGTCATCTTTCTTCATATAAATTAAATATTATGGGTTATAGGGATGTTCACACTCACTTTAAATCTCACTTGAAAAGTGAGATTATAAAAGCCCAGTCTAGCAAATACCAACGAAGAGGAAAAAATAACAGCTCTCAAAAGAAACCAGCATGGCTGTATAAAGAACTCTCTGATAAATTGAAAGACAAAAAGGACAAATATAAAAAGTGGAAAGAGGGGCACATAACAAAGGCAGAATATCAGCAAATAGCCCAAGCCTGCAAAGATGAAGTGAGGAAAGCTAAGGCTCAAAATGAACTAAGGCTTGCGACAAAAGTCAAAAATAACAAAAAAAGCTTATTTCAACATGTAAAAAATAAGAAAAAGGTTAAGGAAATGATTGGTCCATTAGTGGGAGAAAGTGGCAAGAAAGTGACAAGCAACAGTGAGAAAGCAGAACTATTTAATTCATTTTTTGCATCCGTCTTTACACAAAGGGAAAAAACAGTCCAACCTATCAAAAACAGTACCATAAAAAACAGATTAAAAACACAAGTTAAGATAGGCAAGAAAGTGCTAGGTGAGCACCTGTCCAGCCTAGACGAGTTCAAATCACCAGGACCAGATGGATTACACCCCAAGGTTCTCAAGGAACTGGCAGATGTGATCTCAGAACCACTGAACTATATTTTTCAAAGATCCTGGAGCACTGGGGAACTACCAGAGGACTGGAAAAGAACTGATGTAGTTCCCATCTTCAAAAAAGGGAAAAAAATAGATCCATGAAACTACAGATCTATCAGCCTGATAAAGTAGATCACAACCTACTACTTGATAAGATAGAAAAATGTGGGTTAGACAGCATCACCACCAGATGGATTCATAGCTGGCTGACCAGCCATACTCAGCATATGGTCCTCAATGAAACTGCATCTACATGAAAGGAAGTGTGTAGTGGGTTGCCCCAAGGCTCTGTTCTGGGCCCAGTGCTCTTCAACATCTCCATCAATTACTTGAATGAGGGGATAGATGGGAAACTCATCAAATTTGCAGTCAACACCAAGCTGGCAGGAATAGCCAACACTCCAGAAGACAGGCTTAAGATACAGGAGCACCTGGACAGACTTGAAAACTGGGCGCTATCTAACAAAATGAAATTCAATGATGAAAAAAGTAAGGTTCTACATTTAGGCAAGAAAAACCAAATGCACAGGTCTAGTATAGGTGGTACCTTGGTCAATAGTAGTAACTGTGAGAGGGAGTCTTAGTGGACAATCATTTAAATATGAGCCAGCAGTGTGTGGAGCTGCCAAAAAAGCCAACACAGTGCTAGGCTGCATTAACAGAGGGATAAAATCAAAGGTATGTGATGTGTTAATACCACTTTACAATGCCTTGGTAATGCCACACTTGGAATACTGCATCCAGTTTTGGTCACCACGATGTAAAAAAGCTGTTGAGATTCTAGAAAGAGTACAGAGAAGAGCAACAAAGATGATTAGGGGACTGGAGGCTAAAACATATAAGGAATGGTTGCTGGAATTGGGTATGTCTAGTTTAATGAAGAGAAGGACGAGGGGTGACATGATAGCAGAGTTCCAATATCTCAGGGGCTGCCACAAAGAAGAGGGAGAAGCTATTCTCCAAAGAACCTGAAGGCAAGACAAGAAGCAACAGATGGAAACTAACCAAAGAGAGAAGCAACCTAAAACTAAGAAGAAATTTCCTGACAGAACAATTAATTAGTGGAACAAACTGACTCCAGAAGCTATGAATGCTCCAATATTGGAAGTTTTTAAGAAGAGACTGGACAGTCATTTGTCTGAAATGGTATAGGGTTTCCTGCCTGAGCAGGAGGTTGGACTAGATCAGGGCTTTTCAACCTTTTCACCCATGGTACCACTTTTAGGATATGGCAATATCCGAGTACCACCAATCGCCTAGCAAGGTGTCAAAAACTTGACCCCCCCCCCAAAAAAGGAAAAAAATGATAAAGTACAGGTAGTCCTCAACTTACAACAGTTCGCTTAGTGACTCTTCGAAGTTACAATGGCACTGAAAAAAGTACCCCCCAAGGCACAACCGAGCAAGACACCTGCCTGCCCACCCGGCGGCACTCTTCCTCCTATCGGAGGTTCTCATTGTTGTGAGCATTTCTGTTGAGGATTGGCAGTGGGGGTAGGGTGGGGGGTGTTTGGTTTTTATTCCCCCCCCATCTGCTGGGTGGTTGCAGCAGGTTTTGGTTACTTCACATGATCCTGGGACACTGTGACCGCCATAAATATGAATCAGTTGCCAAGCATTTGAATGTAAATCACAAGACCCTGGAGATGCTGCAACATTCCAGCTGATCAGCACTTCTTCTGGGCTCAGCAGAAGCGCCAGGATCAGCGCCGAGCTCCAGCTGGAGCTTGGCACCGATCCTGGCGCTTCCGCTGAGCCTTGACAGTCCCGAAGAAGCGCTGATCCTGGCGCTTCCGCTGAGCCCTGGCAGCCCTGGAGCTCCAGCCATCTCTTGCTCAGGCTTTTGCGGTGCTGCCACCGGTTCAGCTCATTCCCCTCCCCTGCTACCACTTTTCTAGGATGGTTGCGTACCACCTGCCAGGAGCCGATGTACCACAAGTGGTACCCGTACCACTGGTTGAAAAGCCCTGGACTAGATGACCTCCAAGGTCCCTTCCAACTTTATTATTACTTTTAAGTAGTTCACAGAATTTCTGAATAAAAGTATTTTGGAGAAGAAAACCCAAGACCAGTCTTGTCCTGCTGATGTCCTTTCTTTTTTTTTTTTTTTTTTTTTTTTTTTTTTTTTTTTTTTTTTTTTTTTTTTTTTTTTCACCATACACCATACACCAAAACTACATAAACATAACTCTTTTCTTCTAACAGAACAGTGCTTTACATTTTAAATGTTCTTTACATCTTATTTACATTTTATATACATCAATAATTATATCTTTTTCTTTCTCTGTTCTAGCCAAT